CTTCTGAGAAGGGCCAGCACCATCTGCTGGTGTGTCGTCTACATTTTTCGGTTCTATAGGTTGATACAGATAATAGTGGCATACAAACAGCATGCCGGAGTCATTAGTCAATATAATTAGATTAAGTGAGGAATCATGAACTCTAAGTGGAACCGAATCGTCTTCATAAACAGGTTCACAATCGAAAGTGCCTTGGGGTAATTTTGGAAGATTCAACGGAATATTTAACTTGAGAAAACGAAAAAAAAAAAAACTGACAAGATAGGTATGACAAGATATTTAAAATCTTTTAAACTTACTACAGTCTCAGTAGGCAATTTATCGTTGAACTGAAAAGCTGAGAGGGTGGGACTTAATTCGTTTTCCTTATTTTTTTCTGTTTCCGCGCGTTCCATGAGGCTCAAGCTTTTTGATTTTGGCTTCAGATGGATATAATATAATGCTTGGCTGTCTGAATCCCACTGAGCCCAATTAAAATTCTTAGCAATCGTCTCGGAAACAAGCATATTGATGTCTAAATACCATTTATCTAAATGGTTACATTCAGTGAAATCATTGGGAATTTCTTTATTCGCTTTTCTTTGTTTCAATGTGCAAACGTACTGTATTATCGCTATGGAAAAAAATGTTATTGCTGTGGGTATGTAAGTAGTTAAATTTATTTCATTTAAACTCACAAGTCTTATGAATTAGCAACAGAAATTTTTCTTGACCTGATTGCTTCGCCGACGACTTTTCCGTTCGCCATAAAAACTGCGCCATTGTTTGTCGACGTGTTGGCGTATCCAACAAAGATGTAGCGCGCGCACGCTCTTGTGGATTACATGTTTCAACAATGTGGGCTTCATAATGTGGTCGAGCTTCCGCGTTGTCTTTAGAATATGTTATTTTCTCAACATACACCAACAAGGTACCACTACTGTTGATCGTTGCCTGTATTATTTCGCGACACGTTTTAACAAAACGATGTAGTATGCGCAAAGTTTTTGAAGTTGCGTTAAAATGGCCAATGCACGACTCTCGGACTTTGGAATGCAAATCCTCGAAAATCCAAGCCGTAAGCATTGACCCATCGCGTTCCTGACCAAGAACCCGCCATTCAACAGCCTTTTCTGATAAAAATATACACCCCTATGCTGTAATCCGTCGTAGATTCGATTTTGATACGAATCTTAAAATTGGTATGCTGTAATCCGCGTTGCCGTATCGTAATTTCGAAATTCGGAGACCATCTTCGAAATTCGTAACGTTGATATGCCTGAATCCGACGTAGCTGTATGTATTTGTCGGAAATTTTCTACGAAGAGCAACTGGTGTCGGAGCGAATTCTTTTAAAATATCAATAAAATTAAGTGTGGAAACGCGCAAATATGTATTTAAGTTGAAGTGTGAATAAAGACCAATGTATTATTAAATGTTTACAAAATTATCATGTCGACAATCACAACAAATCGCTCGCAATACGAAAAACTGGTGGAAAGCATGAGCGAAAGGCCGGACATTGCCCGAGGCTTTGTAATAGTTAAAGAGGATGTGGTGGAATTTTGGGAAAGCGTTGCAAGATTTAAAGCAACACAATATTTAGTTGAATGGACGCCCTTAAAAAGAGGGAACATATATTTATCATTTAAGGTAAATGGATCAGAACTGTCTCGTAGCAATCTCCTTTGTATATTAATGCAACAGTTGACTGCAGCATGTTCTTCCTCCTGAGACAAAAGTGCACCGGCCACTGAATCCATTCTATTTTACTTAATTAAGGAAAAGCTTTTTCAAATACGATTAAACAATTTTTTTTAATTTCACTGTTCACTTGCGATTATATTTATTTTGATTTGTTTCAGTCAAAGCAGCTGATTAAGAACTTCGAATTTCACTATTTTAGTTGGTAACGCCGTTGATAGTTACGATCGGATTACAGCATACCAATTTTCGAATTTTCGGAACGGAGCTACGAATTCGTAACTACGAACTTTCGGATTACAGCATAGGGGTGGTAAACTTTTACAAATTTTGTTCGCTTATTTGTACAATGATTTGGGGTTAATGTGTCCAAACGAGTGACCCAAATCAAAAAATTTTAGCCTACACGTGTAGACAAAGGAATAAAAAATTCCGTGCAATAATTTATTAACAAATTCGTTTTGAATTTGAATTTGTTTTACCTGCGAGTGAGTTCTGCGCAAAAATACTGTGGATGGCCTAGCCGGATATACACATTCCAAAGTTACCAACGACGTAACGACCCAGATTTGTATCTGACCAAGAACTTTCACTACAGCATCACTACCCAAAACCTCTTTGGCGAGTTTGTATGCTGTTACAACAACGACCGCCAACGCAGCGTCCCGACAACAGTCGGGCCTACGTAATCGGAACGATCCAGATTTATATCTGGCCAAGGACTGTCACTACAGCAACACTTCCCAAAATCACTTTGAGAAATGTGTATGCTGTTCCAACAGCGCAGAAAGGCGCTCTACACAAAAAATACCGTGAGTGGTGTAACCGGAGTTTACATTTTATCAAAATACATAGTATTTTTACATTTTCAAATGGGTCCCAGGCGCGTGTAGAGGATTAGAGAGGGGTTTTCTTAAAATTTGGACTGTGCTCTTTCTAATAGGTAGGGTATTAGGTGACACATCCCATTCCTTCCGCTAAAACCAAAATACCATTGTACATATAACCCACTATGCATATAACCAAGCATTTAACACCAAGACTTTGAATATGGAACAATCGACGTTTATGCGTACCCTTAAATCCTTGGGCAGACAACAAACCGCAAAAATTTGCTGCTAAATTTTCTTGTCTAAGCATATTTTTTTGAATGTTATTTTAGTTGCGTTCCAGGTAAGGTTCAATCGATACAAGTAAATACAAGTACATACTCGATACTTTTCTTTTGATACCAGTATTTTTTTACTCGCTACCTTTTTGTTCGGTATCGAGTAAGTATCGAAAAAAGGACTTGGTATCGAAAGAGTAATTTCTACTACTTTTATCATTGCAACGGCAACTCAACAAATGACGCCCGTTATTAAAGTTTTCGCGAAAAGTGCGGTCATGTAATACAGAAAGTAGAAATCGCTTGTCTGTAATAGGGCATTCGCACGCGGCGATTTTACAGGCAACAAAAGTTGAATACGTAGTTGAATGAGAAGTTGAAAGTGAAAAAGTTGCCATCCCTATTCAGACGAGGCGAATTTGGATTCAACACGAATCGTTATTTACATTATTGAAAATGAATTTAAATCGCAAAATTTTATCAATTGGCGTAAATTTGGTAAGCCAAGCGTTGGTAGAAGTGCTTTTAGCGAAGCTGAAAGATAAAATAAGAGTAAAAAAGTAAAAAAGAAAAAAAAGTATGTATACAGAACAGTGTTGGCACTTGTTTGATACAATTTCATTTACAATATACTTTCCTACACGCAGTACTTTTTAGTAAAATTTTGTAATGAATACTAAAAATATATAGCTCTGAAAATTCACAGTTCGCCTGTTCGTATTTACCTTTGTAAGTTTTGAAAAATGGCTTGAACGAACCAGTATAACATAGCCTAGCCAAATTTTTAAAGAAACTTTTCGATACTAAGTTTTATTAAAACAAAATGTCAAAGTCAGCTTCATATAGAAACAAAGTCTTCGTTAGTTATAAGAAGAGATTTTCTTAAATATAATACCTTTACGGCACTCACATATTGACAAGGTTTTACTATTTATTTTATTATTCTTTAATTTTAATTATCTGTTTATAAACAATAATGTATTCTTTAATAAAAACTGTATAAACCCAAGATTAAATCTTTGCGAAACATCCAAAAACCAACATACTGTCGTAAAAATTTCGAGCTTTATTAATATTCTTTAGTTTTTAGCCCATTCAATTTTAGTATAATAAAGTGCAAGTTTAAAGTAGCTGGGACTTACCGTTGAACTTGGCAATTTTGTTTTGTCGACGATGTCAGCCATTTTCTTCCATACGAAGTGTGTTCGACGATTTTTTTATATGGAGGAAATTAGCAACACCTTCATCAAAGAAATCTTAAAAAACTTAGTTATATTAAAATTTAATGGGCTAAAAAACCACACACTCAAAATAAATCTAGGAAATCGAATTAAATAGCTCGAAATTTTTACGAAAGTGTGTTGGTTTTTTTTATTGTTGCACAAAGTTAGAACCTTGGACTTGTACGGCTTTTCTTAGAATTTACAAAAAATAATTAAAATTGAATAATATTAAGATAAATGGTCAAATCTTCTCGTAAAGTTTTGATAAGCACTTGAAATTCTATTAAAATGTCAAATTTTAGTACTGAATCCAAAGAAAATGTCTCTTTTATCCATTAATAATAACTTAAATATGCTTTTTGTGAAGATGTATACCTGAAAATGTGTGCATACATATTTGCGTTAAATGCAATACATGTGCACGTGGAATCAATTTGTAAAAGTGTAAAATACGTAAACGTATGTACATAAACAATAAAACTTTCTCATGAATACCATAAAATCATTGGTCTTGAAGGGAATGTACTAAGAAAATATATGAGCGAATCAAAAAGTGTATACAATTTATAGCCGAGAATTACATTTTTTGTATAGATTTCGTAGTGAAGGAACAATTTCATATCCCAACACTGATACAGAATGTAAACAAACACAGGGTTGCAAGGGAAAAAAGTTGAACGAGCTCAAAGTTGGCTGGCGACCAACTTTGTTGAAACTTACACATTTTTTGTTCGATCTGTCATTTGTTAGAGCTACATACCCGATAAGAATTCGTACTCTAATAAGAATTCTATGCGTTAGAGCGAGCAAGTTAGAAACATCGGAGTTTTGATGACAGTATACATACTGTGAAGAAATGTCACTTTGCTAAAATTTTGAAGGTAAGAATACGTATTTAACAATTTTATTTAATTATAATGTAATTTCTTCTTTTAGATTGCAAAACAGCAGCGACTTAGTCACATTCTTAAGGTATGTATTGAGACTTTTATATGTTTATAAATTTTAATTGATATTTTTGTTTGTTTACAGATTTGGGATTCACCATCAGCACCTCCAACGCTTGCATCTTCATCGCCAGGAGCACCATTCGAACCTTCTGCCCTCAGCTTCTTCATCGCCAGGAACACCACCAGTACCTTCTACCCTCAGCTCCGTCATCGCCAGGAGCACCATGGGTACCTTCCGCCTTCAGCACCTTCAACGCCAGGAGTACCTTAAAAGTGTAGGTCCAACTTGTCAAATTTTGCAAAGTTGTAAGAAAACTTAATTTTTTGAACCACCATAAATGATTTGCAACTCTTAATATATATCAAAAGAAAGGTAAACCGATTACCTTTCTTTTGATTATAACACCGTTAAAATCGCTTTACGTTTTCATAAAATACTTTGCAACTTTTGTAAACAGCTATATATAAGCAGTGAAAAAGTGGTAAAATTTTGCAGAGTTGTAACAAAACTGAATTTTTGTGCACCATTACAAATGACTTGCAACTGTTTATATATATTAAAAGAAAGGTAAATCGATAACCTTTCTTTTGATTATAATATTGTCAAAACCGGTTAATTTCCAAAAAATTTCGTTCAGAATATTATTATTTCCTAATCGTACGCACTCATCGCATTTAAAAGGGTATTAGATTATTCAACATTCAGTTAAATGATGTAAACTTGTGATTCAACTAACCGCCTGTGAAAGTTGAACAGTGTAATACGGCTTTCTCACGGCACCCCAATTACGTAGTTTGCTCTCTCATTCTTCATTCGCACTCCAATTTCCCTTCGAATTACGATACTAAATTTTGAGAGCGTATTACCTCATTTGTTGGCAATTCAGACCCAATTACCATGCGCATTACGAGAAAATCGCTGGCGTCTCTAATATTTATCGGAAGTTTATCGAAACCAGTTCACAAATCAAAACTCACTTTTTCTGAGTACGAAAAGTAAAGTATATACATGTGTACATCACCAATTTAATACGGAAACTTATAAATTTTTAGCAATTACTTACATTTGGCATAAATTTTGTAGCGAATAACAAAAAAACAAAACACAATGATAGAGAACTGTCAAATCGAATTAAGAATGTGCCTGTAGGAAAGGGGTAATTCGCGATCGTAATTGGAGGATCGAACAAAGTAATTCACGGTGGCGTAGGAAAGCCGTATTACCCTTTACAACTAGGGATACAAACGATGCATGTTGATGTTTTGAAAACATCGATGTTTCGTCCAAAAATATCGATGTTAACATCGATGTTTTGCTGGACGATACATCGGCTAAAAAAGTGAAAAACATCGGCATCGTTTATTCATTCCGTTCGTATTATGCCGAACGACCAGTGCTCAGTATATCCAGTAAACAACCTTAGCTATTTTTTTTCACCAAGTTTGGTCCCCATAAAGGACTAGTGTTGCAAGCAACGCTTTCGGCAATTAGGGTGTTGTTCAGCTATTTAATGTGGTGAAATTTATTTAAGCACTGGAGAGATTTATTCACATGAAATTGGAGATAGGGCTGATAGATTTATTTTAAATAAATTGTGTATCTGCGAAAATATCTTTTCAGCAGATGAATATACTTTTTAACCTTTCTCCCGAAAATTTACATACAGGCCCGAAAATATGCTAGTAACATTCAAATATCGTCGCTTGGATGGAAAATTGCCGGAAGCGTCATTTTGACAATTTGTGGTTTTTGGATATCTTCTTTAGTTTCCGAGTAATTGACTAAAATGTTTTCGGTTATTTGGTACAAATTGCGTTAGTATTGCTGTCGTACTAAACTAATCAAGATTTTTCAAATAGAGTTATCTGTTCTTCTTTAGTTTCCGACATATTCAGCTTTATCATGAGTTTCATTTTCTAGAACCGGGTCACTTTTTCACTTTTAGTTTGCGTGTATTCACTACAGGTGGATGAAAAAATTGTTGGCGAAATTTGGTTCGGGCGAAACTCACGATTAGGCTGATTAGTAAAAAATATCGTTAATTTATAAAAATTGTTATCACATGTTGGCGTATATCATTGAAACTGACTGCAAATTTTTTGACAAATGCCGTATACGACAAAATTTTATTAAACTCATAAATGGTTGACACTAAACTAAAAAATAAGATAATTTAAGAATTTCATGAACTACTCTCCGACACTTTGNTCGGCATCGTTTATTCATTCCGTTCGTATTATGCCGAACGACCAGTGCTCAGTATATCCAGTAAACAACCTTAGCTATTTTTTTTCACCAAGTTTGGTCCCCATAAAGGACTAGTGTTGCAAGCAACGCTTTCGGCAATTAGGGTGTTGTTCAGCTATTTAATGTGGTGAAATNTGACAATCTTTGATCCAGGCGACATTTAGCTAAAATATGCATCTAAATAAATTATAATTGTCATTATTTTCGCAGTTAGAGTATATGCAAGACGAGTAACAGGTATACAAGTATACCTAAATTAGCGCGTTGAGCTTGTATATTTATCTCTCTCATTAATTCTATATACGTCAGCACCAACGCCCGACAAAGTTATATCTGTATTTAATAATGGCTCTATGACAAAATATTCATGAAATGTATTCGTAGATTTTTATTTACTTTCATTTCATACATTAGTATTGATCTGAATCATTTTTACTAAATACCAGGAATAAATATTTAATAAAAAACTATTTCATTTAAGCTTAACCAACTTTTAGTTGCTCGGAGCTAATTTTGGAATGCTTCATGAAATATTTTCATAGATAGTAAATGCAACTCTGGGTGCATCATTAATGAGCTGAAAAACCAAACAATAAAAAAATTATAAAGCAAAACAAAAACAATTTTTCCAATTTATGCACTGTTATTTTTATTATTGCAATACAGTTTCGCAGCTCTTCAAACATTTTCCACATTAAGCTTTTAAAGCTAGTAGTTACCGACCCCATTTGCTCGTTTTTTTTCAGTTCTGAATTTGGGCTAGGCTTCATGGGAACTCACTGTGGGTGCAAACCGACCACATTTTGTAAATATGTACATATGTATACACTTCAACTGAATTGTGATATTTAATTTTATTTTAACATGAAAAAAGAATTTAAAGTGCATTTTTTCAAGTTTACTAGATGTAAGACAATTTTTAATTTTCTTTATATATTGCATGCTTTAGTTTTAATTCTTTTTAAGTTAAGTTGTACTAGGTTCAAGCATAAAAAGATCCATCAACCTACCTGGCTGTCTCCGAGAAACCAAATCGATCATGTTGTGATAGACGGAAGGCACGCTTCCAGTGTTTTAGACGTACGCACACTCCGAGGCCCAAACATCGACTCGGACCACTATCTTGTTGCAGCCAAGATACGCACC